CCTGAAATCGGCCGTTATCATTTGCGATGTAAACGCGCGATCAAGCGCGACGCGTCCTAAAAGCTTCATTTGCTTGTTTGGATTCGCTGCAATTCAGGGCGATCCCAAATACGATCCCGTCAATTTTTAGGTTTCTTTCGGTGTAAACGAATGATGATTAGACCTACTTCGAGTCACAATATAGGTCAGGCCGCGATCAGGTCGCTGGGTGTAAACGTAGCTATTATCGTGTCAATTACGATGTTGTGTATTGGGACCGAATTGTCAATTATTTAACATTTGACGAACATACAAAAATACATGTGCTTAATCGTGCTCAAATTATCGATGATGCATTTTATTTTCTGATGAATGATCAACTTCCCTTGTCCACTTTTTTGGAACTAACGAAATATCTACAACGAGAGACAGACTTTATAGCATGGTATCCTATGTTTAAAGCTCTTGAATATATGTCTGGTTTCTTTTTATTCGAAGAAAGCGCATATATAAAGGTACATAAAACAAATATTGCAAGAAGAAATTTTTTTAAGCATTACACTACATTTCTATTATTTTTTACAAAATAATATTTTATATAAATAATTTAAATATTTTTCCAAGAATAAAATATATATAGTAATAATTAAATACATGTAAATAATTAGAAAACTTTATACTGTCTTTATAAATACCAGTTTCAAGAGAATATAAATACAGATGTCAGCTTTATTTTAACGTTAAATATTGTATACATTTTGTATACACATAATGCTAATAAAATTTGTATTATAAAATAAATCTATATATCGCGTCCTTAAAAGAATACTGTCACACAACTCGAAACATTTTGATTTTGAGTTAACCCATAAAGAACGGACTTAAAATGTTATCTGCGTGCTATAATATTGTCACAAGTTTAGGCAAAATCTGCTGCATAGGGCAGAAATATCGTTATTCTTTTAAACCAGTTATGTTGCGGTTTCCTGGATTAATTAACCTGGATGAATAGTGTCATAAGAAAATTGACAAGTAAATCACAGCAGACCTCTTAAAGAAACAGTATAAGTTTTAATATAATACTACAATATCGTAATTATAATCGGATTAGTTATTTCACAATTAAAAAAAAATAATTAAATTTTTTTTTCTCCTGAAACTAGTGAATATTTAAGATACGACAACATTCTTCTTGGGGTGCGATAATTATTTCTGCAACGTATATAAAAAGATAATTTATTCATATATACATAAGAATGCATAGAAATTATTACATGTTTTATTTATACATATACAAGTCATGTTACGTAAATATAACATTATGTTCGATCACTGTTGTTAGACTTTTTTACAAATTAATTATTTCATTTTTTGATTTTTAGAAACACATGCGGAACATCTTGCAAGAGCTTCTTAAGCTTCTTAAGCATATAACACACACCAAGAAATCTGATGAAAAACTTAATGACTTTATTAAATGTTTAAGGCAAGAAGCTGCCAAATGGGCATATGTCCTCAATGACTCCAATTGCATATCTACTGCCTTTTCTAAATTGACGCGGCATTTGGATGGTACTGAAAGGTACAATATTTTGAATAATTTTATAACCACTTTTTCATATATTTATAATAATGATACAAAATATTTGATATAATAAATACGATTAAAGCAGAAGACCATAAAATACAATTTTTATGTTTTATTATTTTTTTCTTGATATTGTATAGGCTGTCAGAGTGGAAGAAATGGGTATATTGTAATGATCTAGTGAATAATGAAACTCTTTGGTGGGATGTATATGATGAATATTTATCTTGCTCTACGTTTCCTACTATCACCATCGATTACTTAAACATGATAATCCGTAAATTGGAAAACTGCGATTTAAACAAGCCAGACTACAAGAATGTAATATTGCATTGCAATGACCTTGTGAACAGTTTTCTTCTTACTATTGCAAAGCATGCAAAAGATAACAAAGTATTAGAACATATATTAAATAACTTTGATAAAATAATATTAAGGTAATGAAAATATTTTTTAATTAAAACATTGTTCATGATGTATTGTAAGTATTTTAAATGTTTATAATATGTACTAAATACAAACTTGTCGTTTAATTTAATAGCGGAATCAATGTGAGAGTAGCATTAATTAATATCATTAACCATGTACAGTCTAAGAATCAATTTGATAAGGTAAATTTTATAATTAATCCAAAAACTATTCGACTTTACTAGTATTTTATTATAAAACTTACTCTTACTTATTTAATAATTAATTACTTAATTATATCGCGCTGAAACCCCAAACTATGGTGTTGCATCATATACATATATACTTCGAAGTATTACCAACACTTAT